AGAGCCGACTCGATGGCATCTTACAGCATGCTTCCAGTGCTTCATCGGCTGGTTGAAATATTTTGGTTGGTATTCTATCAATTCCTGGAACTTTGTTTTTCACTAATGCCCCCAGTGCAGGTTGGACTTCTTCCTTCAGTACCATCAGTTCTTGATCACCTGCTACTTCCTGAAATGGCTGAATGTTGACCAATTCTCTATGTATTCCTTTCATATTCTTTTGATGTTTCCTGGATCATGCAATATTTTTGCCATTAGAATCCTTCACTATTTCAACTCAGGGCTTGATTTTTCTTCAACGCTTGGGTGCTTTCTTAATGTTTGGATTTCTGAGTCTAGGCCTTTGCACATTTTGGTTATAGCACATTAATTTGTCTTCCCAAGTTGCTGGACTTTTCTGTCCAGCACTTTTGCTTCATCATATGCACTTAGTACCCTCAAACAGCCCAGTCGGAAGTTACAGGTTGCAAACTTCTCTACAGAGAACGAGGCAACCATGGACGTTTTTAAGAACAGAGTGGCAATTTGGCAGCATTCTCTCTGGAAACTTACTTCATGAACACTGAAGATGATGGCCGCCAGGAGCTTTTCTTGACCCCAACCCTGAGCTCGGCTTCAGTGAGGCGCGTCTCAGTGGCAGGTTAAGTCTTCCAGGGAACGTGGACCTGTGTGTCAAGGGTGGTGTGATGGGGGGAAGGCATGACCTTTTGTTTTGGTTAAAAACAGAACTCTTCCTTTGCAACAGGGATGGGAGGATAACTTGGTGCAAACGCTCCGTAGAACAATGAGACAATTTCAAAGTTTACAACATCTGACCCAATGATTCCTCTATGGGACTTTCTCCAACAGTCATCCACACGTGTCTGTTGATGTGTAATCACAGTGGCATCATAGTGGTAAAAGATCTAAAGGAACTTAGTTGCATATTGTTCAGGGACTAGTGAAATCAAAGCACCATGCCGGCTGTCCCTCTGGGCTCATTGAGGTTCAGAGACAAGGATGTGAAGGAAATCGCTTATTTGGGAGATGTTCCCAAGGAGCCCTAGTCTGAGAAAGGAGACAGGGAACTGAAGAAACCAAGAAAGGTGCCATGCCAATGGTTATGCCAAGGGCACCGAGAGCTCAGTCCTGGGGGTGGGATGGGGGGACCGAGGAACACCGTGTAGAACATGCCTCAGTGTATTGATTGCACCCGAAGGGAAAAAGAGATGGGGCGTTTGTCTAACAACTTCGTCAGACAACAGTTATGGGCTTCTTGCAGGTGTTGTTAATTTTCTGACATCCCCAGCTCCCTCCCCTGAGTTTCAAACCAGATTCTGTGGTCGGAGGCAGCCCTCAGAAGACCTGCAGATACTGCAGGGAGAGCCTGTCAGGGCATCCTACCAGAAAGAGCTAATGCCAGAGGGCTGTGGGTTAGAATCAGAATTATCCCTCCCTGTCTCACTTTTAGGTGGGCAGAGCAATAAGACGAGCTTCTGGCCACAGAGCATGAATGGACACAGAACACGTCGGTGTGTGGCAGCTGTGCCTTCACCTTCATGATGCCTGCTAGTGCCTGGGAGTGTGCAGGTGACGTAATTTGAGTCCGTCAGGCAGCTTTGAGCCTTTCTGCCCAATTGCTGCAGGCCTCAGTTGCTGTCAGTTGAAATTCTGAAACAGAAGAACATATAATATAGTGCCACTTTGAGGCACCAGGGATTTGTTTTAGCCAAAACCCAAAAAAACTCTGGGTTATACCCCTCAGAAAGTTACCTGGGAAACAGAGTCACAAAATGGAAAACAAAACAAAAACATAACTACAAAAATCCTGGGAAACATTTTCTTAATAAAAACCAGAAGAAACCCAAACCGCATGCCCAGTCCTCCAATGTCCCCTCTGAGATAGAGTGCTGACCAGCGTGATCTGGGAGTGGAAAAGGCAGGGACACAACAGATGATCACAACTGTGTTAGGCTGGGTGCTCTGGAGAAGCAAGCCCAGCGATGCTTATATCGGCAAATAGAGAAGCTTAGATCAAGATAAAGGGCTCACGCTGTTGTAGGAGCAGGTCAGTTCACTTGAGTTCAAGTCCACTGACCAGATGTTAAGCTGGAGGCTAATCTTGAACCATGCAGCTGCCAGGACGGGTGGACCAGGCAGCGGTCAGATGAATCAGGAAGACCTCAGACTGGTAGATGTCAGCAGATCAGGCCGGTGGCTGGACAAGTCAAATGAATCCAAGGCTGGCAAGTTCTGATGGCTCACAGGAGCTGCAGGCAATAGCTCCCAGGGTCGGTGGGCAATATGGTGAACTGCTAACTCAAGAACCAGAGGTTGATGCGACAGATAGGGGACCCGGGCTAGCCAAGAAATGAAGTTCTCCACAGCTCTTCAGTACCAAGTAGGGCACTACTTGGTAGTTTAAGATGATATCCCTGAGGAAGTATCATTAGGGTGAGGACCCGAGTAGCTGCCTGGCTCATAGTAGATCCCATCATGGAGTTGATTATGTTAGATCACATTCTGGTGGAGATCTCAATCGCCAAACCACTGAGAATCCTGTTCCACCCAAGATGACATAAAGCCTAATTATCATTTTAATGTTCCACCCAAATACCTGCTATAAATCCAGTAAGAAACTGGAAAAGCAGCTTCTCCCTTCCCCACTCGAGAGTTTTATACAAATACTTATGCAGGCTGGTGTGCTAAGTTCTGGCCTTTTGATGGCCAGGAGTAGTGGTCAGCCTGTAACATGTGAAGGCAGTGACATGTAGAGGAAACTGGGGCGGGGGCTGCCAGAGCAGGCAGCATCCCTGAGGAGCAGTAGTGGAACTGCCCAAGCGGATGCAGCATCCAGAACTGTGCCCATGTGGTGCCATGCAGCTGGGGACTCATGTCCGATCCACTGCACACTGGTGCTCCCCGGCTCTCCACTTGGAGGAAGGGTTGGGTCCTTGCTTCCCAAGAGGAAGCATGTTGCGTGAACAGTGCGGTACAGATGTGTGAATGCAACGGACTGAGTAATGACAGGTGGTGGGGACTGAATGAGAGGAGGGCCCACTGACTTGTGAGACACCTTGGTGGAGTATCCAGCTGGATGTGGGCCACTGCAGCTGATGAGTCCCATCCGAGAATGTGGGAGCGAGTGAGCTTAGAACTGAGGAGTGAGGGGTACCATACTTCGGAGAGTGGTGGGGCGCACAGACTAAAGGTCTCTGGATCCTCCGAGTGAGTGTTTAGCAACTGAGCCTGCGAAGTAAGGTTGTCATGTGTGAACACCCAAGCAAGCTGGGGAGGCCCAGGTACTGAGGACAAAGATGGAGACCCAGGGCATACGCGTGCGCACCTGGTTCTACTAAGTCACATGGTCCCTGGTTTCTACCCGCTCAAGCCTGCTTCAGGGGTGGGGACCAAGGGTCCAAAGATTCTGAGTTTCCTATGTTTCTCTGGTTGTGGAAGGGCACCCAGACTGTGGCAAGACCTTCGTCCCTTCCCAGACCCAGAGAGGCTGGCCACTGATACGTTGTGGGCTATGGCAGGTCTCAGGCAGGGTCCCGAGGAAGGAGGACCCGAGGATTGAACTGGGGAAAAGGGCATCGGAGGCAGGAGGGTCACATGAGCAAGACTGTGTGTGTGTGTGTGTGTGTGTGTGTGTGTGTGTGTGTGTGTGTCCAGCATGGCATTGTGACCAAGTGCCTGACCCTTATGGCATTCACAGCTGGGGGTTGACCGCAGCCCTACTCTGCTGCCTACCTCTGCTTTGTTTCTGACCATGGGATATAAAGGTGAAACCTCTGTATAATTTAAATAAATCCTTGTAAAACAGAAAAACTGAGGCACATCCTCCTCCATTCTCTCCAAAAGTCTTGGTATTTTATTGATCACACACATAGGTACGCACACAGGTCTAAGGGGGTAGGAAGCACAAGACGCAGATCTGTTGGGATTCTCTGGCGTCTGCCAGAGTTAAAGGTTTAGATTCCTCCCCGCCCCCCAAACTGTCATTGCTGCCCTTAGAGCCAGACTGTCCCACTCCCAGATAGTCACCCTGCCCTTCACACTCTCTTCACGTTTTCGGACTGCTATGAAACGGACCTATCTTCTCATCAGCCATCATACCTACCCTGAGGCTAGCATGCCACTTGGAAACAGGGGAGACCAAAGATAAGAGATGAGTGAATTATCCAAGATGGCACAGCCCCCTGCCCATAGCACCCAGCTTCAGGAAGCAGAGACACTCACAGTTAGGAAGCAAGCAACATTGCATTTATTTCATACACAGGACCTCCCCTGCTCTGCTAGGTCCCCCAGACGTTACCACCATATTACAGCCTGGGCTCTGCTGACACACCTTAACAACCTGGCAGCCAGGTCAGGTGTAGGGTGGGGTCAAGGTTGGGGCCCAGGCAGCCATCTAGGATAGGCCA